TGCAGTCATCATGCCTTTCCTGAAAACTGGGATTACCGGTGTGCACCCATATGCATAGCTAGCATGGAACTTTCCAGTTAATTTGAGAATTATGCCATGTCACAGTTTAAGTGTATGATAAGGACAATGCCTCCCAGTTAACTCATTTCCTCCTTCAGTGCAGTAGTTTGTAAGAAAAGAAAACCCGCCGAGCCTGTGACACACCTGTAATCCCAGAGAGCATGAGAAGTTCAAGGCCAGAACCCAAATTTGGTTCCTAATATCTGTATCAGAAAGCTCACAACTGCCTATAACTCCAGCTCCAGGGGATCAGACACCTGGCCTCTTTGGGTGCCAGTACCACGTGCGTACATTCCCTACACACACACTTATACACAATTAAAAATAAACTATCTTTTTGACAGGATGGTGGTGGCGCACGCCTTTAATCCCAGCACTCAGGAGGCTGGCAAATCTCTGTGAGTTTGTTTTTTGTTTTTGTTTTTTCGAGACAGGGTTTCTCGGTAGCTTTGGTGCTCTTATAGACCAGGCTGGCCTCGAACTCAATCTTTTCTTGTTTGGTTTGGTTTGGTTTTTCAAGACAGGGTTTGTCTATAGCACTGGTGGTTGTCCTGGAACTTGTGCTGGGATTAAAGGAGTGAACTACCGTGCCCAGTGGTAAAAAAAAAAAAAGTGTTTTTGCAAAGGACCCAAGTTCAGTTCCTAGTTTTCACATTGGTGGTTCACAACTTCCTATAACTCTAGCGCTTCTGACCTTCTTGGGTTTTATACTTATCATATACACATGCTCCCCCCAAAAAAGAAAAAAATATGATTAGAAATAAAATCCTTTTTTAAAATGCCTGTGTGCATGTGTTTCTCTGTGTGCCTCCATATGTGTATGTGGGGTATCTGCACCTCCCTTCACATGCCCCAGTGGCCTCAAACACTTCCTAGCTCGTTATGGGACTCTACACCTGTGCCATACACACAGGACGACACGCTCACTTATCTTCCCGCCTCTCCGCCTACTCCTCTCGCCCCTCCCCCATAGCTCTTATAGCCACATCCTGCAAGGAAAAACCCCAGACTCCTGTGAAGGCAGAGCCCAGACAAGGATGTATGTGTGGGTTCAGCAGCCCACAGCACTTCTGCTCCTGGGACTCACACTTGGGGTTGCATTCAGGCTCAACTGTGTTGACGATACGTACCCCAGTGGTCACAGGTGCTGTAATGAGTGCCAGCCAGGTGAGTGGCCCAGCTTTGGGATGTAGTGGCGGAGTGGGGGAGGGATGATTGTTGGGGGACAATGATAGAGACACAGGTACGGATATTCTGGGGGGCGGGACGGGTAAGTGAATTCAGGTGATATCAGATGATGCTCCATGGATCCTGTCCCAGGTCTGAGACAGCCAACAAAAAGGCTGGTTCTGTAGGAGTCAGGGTGCTGTGTCTCCACCGTCCTGGGCCTTAGCTGACCTGTTTAACTTTCTGGGCTCCGCTACAGGCAACGGTATGGTGAGCCGCTGTGATGACAACAGGGACACTGTATGCCACCCGTGTGAACCTGGCTTCTACAACGAGGCAGTCAATTATGAAAGCTGCAAGCAGTGTACACAGTGCAACCAACGTGAGCTCCTCCTACCCTGACTCACTGTCCAGCCCAGCAAGGAAGCAGCTACACCAATGGGTGCCCATATTTCCCATATGATTGCAGAAGTAACTCCAGGCCATGATGAATCCTGTTCACTAAGGGGTCCTTAGTAGCCAGGGAATTTCTCAGGGGACACTTCTGTCCTCTGCAGTGAAGGCTCAGCCAGGGCCTTTGGAACTGGGCCTTGCCCAAGCTGTTCTAGTGGGTAAGGCCTGATGTGGATGCTGAGAGTATCTTTCTGATTCAGATGCTCTAGGCTGGAGACAGGTTGGGGAAGGGTAGAAGGGAGGCCATAGCTGCCCTGTGCTAGCTCAGTGGCTTTCTACAGGACTTTATGACCAGGAAGAACAGAGTAGCCAGAGAGAGGATCTTAAAAGAGAAGAAGCCTAAAGTCAGGCTGCAGAGTTCCCTCAGTTTCAACTTTGTTCCTGTGCCACTGAGGAGTGACAAGTCCATTTTGCTTTGCCTTGTCCATTGGTCAGGGCTAGTTAAGCCTCATTCACAGTCTCTGGTCTTCCCTAGGAAGTGGGAGTGAACTCAAGCAGAATTGCACACCGACTCAGGATACTGTCTGCCAGTGCAGGCCGGGCACCCAGCCCCGGCAAGAAAGCAGCCACAAACTTGGAGTTGGTGAGCCTCAGGGTGGCCCCCTACACCAGGCAGGTTCATGTCTGTCCATGGCTGGTGTGTGTGAGGTGGTCAGGATCCATATGTGTTGACGCCCTTCATGATAATGGTATAAAATGAGCCGTGTTCCCACTCCGAACATTGTCACCTCCCCCAGCATCTCCCTATCTAGTCTTGGCCAGAAGCCCCTCTCCCACTGTGTCATGTCAAGACTTGGGTCAGTGCCAGTGGGAGGCATGTGGGAAGGAAGGACGTTGCAGAGACCAAGATTCCCACGCACTTGGCACTGGAGAGTGAGCCTTAACACTGTCCCCCACTTCAGGCCCTGCCTCCAGCAGCCTCAGCATCTAGGGCCCACCTAGTAGTAGCATCAGAAAGTTGACTTATGTCTTTGCTGCAGACTGTGTCCCCTGCCCTCCTGGCCACTTTTCTCCAGGCAACAACCAGGCCTGCAAGCCCTGGACCAAGTGAGTATTGATGCTGGCTGGAACACTGAGGACTGGGGGTGTGGAAGGAATGGAACCAGAAAACATCTGGGCATTTAAGAGCTGGTGCCTAGATGACTATGTGATAGGCCAGTTAAAAGAACAGAAATCCATGGACCAGGGGGTCTTCTGACATCTTCCCTTCAACACAGCCCCCATGGGGAGCCCTGCAAGTGGAGTGGGGACATGTGAGATTCTAGTCCAGACTGTAGAAACATGTTTGCTCTCAAGTTGTGGTCTTCAGAGGGCTGGAGAAGTACTAGGTGGGTTTTGAGAGCGCGGAACCTCATGTAGGAGCAGGACAAGGACAGACAGAAACAGAGACAGATGTGTGGCTTGGGGTGGAGGAGCTGGCAGAGTTGAGGATGACCCAGTGCAACTTCCACCATTGTCTCTGGCTAATGGACACCCTCATTTCACAGCTGCACCTTATCTGGGAAGCAGACCCGGCACCCAGCCAGTCCCAGCTTGGACACAGTCTGTGAGGACAGAAACCTCCCAGCTACAGTGCTCTGGGAGACCCGGGGCTCTACATTCACGTCAACCACTGTCCAGTCCACCACAGTCTGGCCCAGGACTTCTCAGTTGCTCTCTACACCAACCCTGGTGGCTCCTAGGGGTAAGGGACACTGGCCCAGTGGAAGGGAGGGGAGAGGAAGTGAGGGTAAGTGAGTTCACTCAGTTAGACTCTCCTCATAGGCCCAGTATTCACTGGTTTCCTAGGCCTAGGCCTGGGCCTGCTGGCTCCCTTGACTGTTCTGCTGGCCTTGTACCTTCTCCGAAGGGCTTGGAGGTTGCCTGATACTCCCAAACCCTACTGTGAGTACCCGCTTTGGGTTTAATAAAGCTTACTTCCTAGAGGGATGAGATATATCTCCTCACTGCTTCTTCCTTCTTCACTTCTCCTAGGGGGAAACAGCTTCAGGATCCCTATTCAGGAGGAACAAGCTGACACACACTTTACTCTGGCCAAGATCTGAACAGTACCTCAGGAATGGGTTTGACGGAGCCATGGACAATCCATATCCTGGTGCCTGCCAGTACCCTCCACACCGTTCTAGGTGCCGGGCTGGCTCTGGGCTCTCCTATGTATGCTATGCATACTGCCTGCCTGGTGGTACCACCAATAAACGTGCTAGCAACTGTGAGTCTGTGACTGGCACTAGGGGGCTGAGGTTGCATCCTCTTCTGGTGGGGAAGAGTCTTAGGCCAAGGTGAAGGTCTGCTCAGAGACTCACACTTAGTCACGTGTACTCCAGCGTGAATAGAGGTATGGAGTACAGGAGGTCTAAAATGCCAAGGGGATGGTACTAGGGGAAGCCAACCGGCGGCTTGATGAGCAGTCCAGAGTCTGTGCTCCAAGGCAGTGGCTTTTAACCTTCCTAACGCTTCAACCCTCATGTTGTAGTGACCCCCCCAACCATAAAATTATTTTTGTTGCTACTTCATAACTGTAATTTTGTTACTGCTATGAATTGTAATGTAAATGTTTTTTGGAGATAGAGTTTCACCAAAGGGGTCACAGCTCACAGGTTGAGAACCACTGCTCGTAGGGGCCCTAAGAGTCTTAGCCAAAAGGAAAGCATCCTGGCAAACAGCTTGAGTATCCGGATCATCAGAGGGGTTCATGAACCACTGTGCCTCTTTTGACCTCTGTGACTCAGACAGATAACTCAGAGTTATCCTTTCTCACCAGCCACATGAATGGTGAGAAGTGTTTGATGGTACTTGCGCACTACCTAGGTACTCCCTTAAGAATCTCTGGACGTGGATGGCTATGGCTCCATGTAGCAGCCAATCACCCAGCTGTGTTGGAAAACTGGTCTGCTTCTTGAGCCAAACCTCGTCTGTCCTGAGATTATTTCTCTAGAAACAAATGTTCTCTGACAAGAACATGGACACTTGGAAGACCCAGGGTCTTGTGCTGCTCCACTACAAGGGGTTCTGGGAGAAGCAATGGCCGTGTTGCTCAGGGAGCACAGGCACCCGAAAGCTCAATGAACTACAGGCAGAAGGCGCCAAACCGCTCGTGGAGATAGGCAAGCGGTTATGCCTGCTCATGCAAGTGAAACCAGAGAGCCCAAACTGGTGTCATGTGATAGACGTTAAAAGTCACTAGATGGCCGAGCTTGGTGGTGGATGCCTTTAATCCCAACACTGAGAAGGCAGAAGCAGGAGGATCTCTGTGAGTTCGAGGCCAGCCTAATCCACATAGCAAGTTCCAGGTTGACCAGAGCTACATAGTGAGACCCTGCCTCAAATAAAAATAAAAAAAAGGAAGAAAAAGAAAGAAGAAAAGAAAAAACCCAAAACAAGAAAGGAGTCACCAGACATCCTGGTGTGGGGGGTGGTGTCAGGCTGTGTCAACTGTGCTTTGAGGAGGCATAGGGACCATAAGGAACTATAAAGACAACTGTTTCCTTGTTTCCTGCCTCTTGACACCATGAGGCCACCGGCCTGGCATTAAAGTAACACCTTGTTACCCCTCCTGTCTTTGACTTGATCTGCCCGTGGCCAGATAGAGTATTTTTGTTTCTTTGTTTTTTGAGATAGGATTTCTCTGTGTAGCCCCGGTTATTCTGGAACTCACTCTGTAGATCAGGCTGGCCTTGAACTCAGAGATCCGCCTGCCTCTGCCTCCCAAGTCCTGGGATAAAAGGCATGCGCCACTCCCTTCAGGCCAGATATGACGATCTTCATCTGCATGGTGGGGCACCCTATTACTTGTAGCCCAAGTCACTGCGATCCCCTTGGGTTGGCTGGACAAAACTATCTCTGATCCTGGTTCCCTTCCCATCTCTCTCCGTTCTCTGACAACTGCCCACAGTCAAAGGAAACACCCACTGAACTACTAAATGCCCTTCACTGGGTACTTGTACAACCAACCACACCTTAAACCATAGGTCAATGGCATAGGTCAATGGCAGGAGCCATAGGCCAATTGGCAGCTCCCACCCCATAGAGAAATCCATCCTGGAAAGGAGTGGGAAGGAAGAATGCTGTGGGGCTTGGGAGGTTAGAGCTGGTAGGAAAGAGGCTTTATTCTCACTCTAGGTAGGCCACATCTATGCCCCCTCCTTACTGGACACAGGATTCCAGTTTTCATGTGGTCTCCAGCTCATCTGGGGCTCCTTGGGTCCCTTCCCAGGTTAAATACCCATGGCTCCACCTGCACAGACACTGGGTTTATTTTTCTTCGTTCTGGTGCTGTCTCAAAGCATATTCTCTATCCACCCTCATCTCAAAACCTCCCTGAGTACCTCTGCTGCTCGCCCCATATGAATACGGGAATTCCCCACAGGGTCAAACTGCCAGGACCCTCTGCTACCTGGAGCATACTCACCGAGTCCTGTGAAACAAACCACACGGAAATACAAGCGCAAGGAGCTGCTCATAAAATAAAGGAGATAGCAGTGAGCAGAGAAAAATCACCTCTGCCCACTGTCTGGTTATGGAAGCTGCTAATTCTTGACAGTTCCTTGCAGTGGGTACCTAGAAGTGGGTAGGACAGGAAGTCTGACATAGGTGCTGACATTTGCTGATGTCATCTGCTCGAAAACATCGCCCTAGGTGTATGACCTGTGTCTTTTTATCTTTGTGATCTCTGTGTGTGGTTGTCTCCTGGAAAGAACCTCTATGAAGCTCATTACCTGCTTGTAGCCTTGCAAGTCTCTAACAAGCAGACCTTGCCCATGGCTGAGCTCGGATACAACACCAAGGCAAAAATTCCCAAGGGACACCTTCAAGGTATAATGCATGGCAGTGTTTTGGAGGTGAGTGTTTTGTTATCTCTCCCCTGTGGAAGAGGCCATTGCCTAAAGAATAAGGATTCCCAATGTGAGAATATCATGGCTGGCAGGAGATTCCATGTGTATATGGTGAACTCACCAGGGTTGGTGTAATGCTATGAAGGTGTGGTCCCAGCTGACCTTTTAGATTTTTGTTTGTTTGAGATAGGGTCTCTCTCCATAACTCTGGCTGTCCTGTTCACTATATAGTCCAGGCTGACCTCAAACTTAGAGATCCACCAGCTTCTGCCTCCTGAGTGCCGTCATTAAAGGTGTGTCCTACTATGTCCAGCCCCAAATATGGAATGCTTCATAGATTTTTGTGTCATCCTTACACAGGGGCCATGTTAATTTTTGTATTGTTCCAATTTCTGTGTATGTGCTTCCAAAGTGCTCCCATAATTTTTTTTAAATGGTTAGGAACATAGGCAATACTGCCCTCAGTATCTTTTTTTTTTAAATACTTGTTAAAAAAATATTTATTTATTTATTTATTTAGTATACAGCTAGCCAGAAGAGGGCACCAGACCTCATTACAGATGGTTGTGAGCCACTATGTGGTTGCTGGGAATTGAACTCAGGACCTTTGGAAGAGTAGGCAATGCTTTTAACCACTGAGCCATCTCTCCAGACCCTGCCCTCAGTATCTTTATGTGGAGCCAAGGCACATAGTTTCCCTTCTGCCCATGTACTCAGACCCACTTTCTTGACCTGGAGCTGTTTCTCGAAGGAGAGGTTCTGCTAAGGCTAGCCTAGAGTGGACTACCCAGAGCCCCCCACCCCTGCAGTGCCCAGTAGGAGTTGCACAGCTGGTAACTTAATTAATTAATTAATTTCCTACTTCCTCTGCCTCCTCCAACAGCATCTTGGAGGTTTCCTAGGCCTTCAACAATCACAGTGGTCTCCAAACCCACAAATACAGAGATGCCCATATTCACCTCCAACACTCCCCAAAGTTCTCACCATGTTTCCCTGTACTTAGTTTCAACTGGAAGATGTGGGAAGGGAGGCTGAACAATCCAGAGAGGCCTCCCTGTAGGGGCAGGGTTCCTGAACCTGCTAGTGACCGCATGAGGAAAATGAGGTTCAGAAAGACAATATAGTCTCATCATGAAGAAGAGGCCCGAAAGGCTCCATCAGGGAGTCCTTCTTGTTATCTAGAATTTGTGAGGAGGTGAACAAAAGTGGCTCCAGAGACAGCCAAGAGATCCAAGCTGGAACTCCCAGGGCTGGATCTGGGCAGAACATACTGTTCTTGGCTTCAGGCGCCGTCTAGGAATGCCCAGCTTATGATGACTTTCTCTGAAAGGCATATGTGCTCTGGACTCCCCTCACTGGCTCTCTGGGGTGAAAGAGGAAACGAGGAGTTTTACACAGTAAAGGGTACCCACAGCAGCGGTGGCGTCAGCATGTGTGAATGGGGCACCCTTTTCCTGTGCAGTGTCCTGGGTGTGTATGCTGGAGTTGGAAGAGACTTGCTGGGGTCCAGGAGGTGTCAAGGAAGATGCACACTTTACAGTGGCTTCACAAGCACCACGTACCTGCCGGAAGATGGAGGTGGAGCTGATCTGGAGCCCAATTTTGAGAGGTGGGGCCTGAGGCAGGGGCGGGACAAAGCATGCGGGAGCAGGTTGGGGACTACTAAAAACCAACCAACAGGAAGAAGACAGGAGAAACACTATGGGAGCATGGGCTATGCTGTGTGGAGTCTCACTGATTTGTGTGCTGGACGTGCTGGACCTAGGTCATCAGAGCCTGGCTGAGGAGCTTGGCTGTGGCCCTGGCAGCTTCCAGCGTGGGACTGGCAACAACACACGGTGTTGCAATCGGTGTGCTCCAGGTAAGGCAAGGAGGGGAGCAGGAGCCAGGTTGTGCACCAGCGCCCTGCCCAGCTCTCACACAGGGAGGGTGGGTAGGCAGACTTTCTGAGTCTAGAACCTTGAGTCTGGAACTGAGAAGGAGGGAGAGGGTCTATATGAATCACTTGCTCAAGATCAGAAGTGTGGGAGCAGGGGCATCAGGGGCTGGAAACTTCTCCTTCAAGAGGGATCTGGGGTCCAAGGTGAAAGAGGACCATCTCAGGGTCTTCTGAGTGGGTCAAACCTTAGCTCTGTCTGGGTTGGTGTCCCAACACTCTTCTCTGCCCCATTCACTGTCTGTGTTACCTAGAAGGTGTAGAGCAGTCTGAGGACCTCTCAAAGAAAAATATCTTAGCACTTCACCCCCATCCCTCTGATATAGAAAGAGGCAGCTCTGAGGACCCATGTGTCTGTGAAAGAAATGTGGACAGCAGTGAGTGCAGCTGCTGAGGTGTTCCTAGTACCCCGAGGCAGCATGGGCCCAGGGACCTTAGAAAACCCCAGGTGACTCTCATATCTAATGGGACTTATGAAGCCATAATTTCAGAACAGTGGGCAGTATGTATATTAGCAGTCAGCCATCTGAGATAGAACACTGAGATGGACAAAGCCTAGGAACTTGTACTGGGGTTGACTGAGAATGGAAGCCCAACACCCTAAGCACTTGAAGGACCAGTAGGAGCTCTGAAGAGGAAAGGGGACTCTGCCTAGTTTCTGAGACTCTTATTCTTGCCAAGACAAGGAGACCTGTCCTGAAGGAGACTGTATATGTGTCATGCTGGAGTACCACTGTGAAGACCCTCAGTGCAAGACCTGCAAGCACCACCCTTGCCAGCCAGGCCAGAAGGTGCAGACTCATGGTATGTCCCTGGGAGACTGCTGAAGGCCACAGATATCCCCAAGCTAACCACGAGTTTAATCTAGAGCCAAGCTGGTAGAGATGCCCAGTGAGCATGTGTAGGCATGTGAGAATGCTTGCACATACAGGGCTCATGGGCATATATACTCTGGGTAGACAAGGATTTGCAGTCTAGATTCTAGAAGGGATAGGTGAGCCAAGTGGTCTCAGAGTTATTCTTCCTATTAGCCTGGGATTCTCCATCTTAATGAGGGTGTTGCTATCTTCTCAGGGCTGGCTGTGAGAGGCTGTGAGGAGTGCTCAGGTACTGGTCTGCTCTCAGACTATTACTCTGACTATGACCAGTCTTGCCACTAATCCCATCCATCTTCATAGGGACCAATGTATCATTTTAGTTCTGGAATAGGCGTCCATAGTACTGCCTGTCCAGCCTCTAGTCCTGCGGACATGAGATCCGGTGGATTGATAGACCCTAGTCTGACTTTTCTGTTCATTTGTTTTGTTTTTCGAGACAGGGTTTCTCTGTAGCTTTGGAGCCTGTCCTGGAATTAGCTCTTGTAGACCAGGCTGACTTCGAACTCACAGAGATTTGCTTGCCTCTGCCTCCCGAGTGTTGACTCCTTCTTCTTTAACCTCAGTAGTCCCTATAGTCTGTCTGTCTGTCTGTCTGTCCACAGGGAATATTAAGTTTGGCTTCGAGTGTGTTGACTGTCCCATGGGCACCTTCTCCGCAGGCCGCGAGGGCCGCTGCAGACCTTGGGCCGAGTAAGTCCTGGATGAGTAGCCTAGGCCCACTCTTGAGGAAGCCTCTCCCATCCCTCCCTTGTAGTAACCCCCGAAGGCCCCCATTCATCTCCCAAATGGCTCAGAGGCCAACAGTCCTCCTAGTGTGGCTGCTTAGGTAACCAAGCTTGACAGTGTCTGTGTCTGTGTCCCAGCTGTACCCAGTTTGGATTTCTCACCATATTCCCTGGGAACAAGACTCACAATGCTGTGTGCATCCCGGAACCACTGCCCACTGAGCAACATGGTCATTTGGCTGCCATCCTTCTGGCCGTGGCTGTTTGCATTCTCTTCTTAACCACAGTCCATCTCTGCCTGCACATAAGGGAGCTGAGGAAGCAGCACATGTATCCCCGAGGTCAGTTGTGTCCCTGGGAAGGGGAACATGCATCTCAGGCTACTCGCTGACCATGTTTTTACTACAGAGACCCAGCCACTCTTGGAGGTGCAGCTTCCACCAGCTGAGGATGCTTGCAGCTTTCAATTCCCTGAGGAGGAGCGTGGGGAGCAAATGGAGGAAAAGAATCGTCTGGGAGACCGGTGGCCATGAGGGCTGTTCTTCCTCTGTACTCCAAGCCAGACCCTCTAAGACTTGCCCAGACCTACCCTTGGTGAGAGCAAGGGCTCTGCTGTGCGTCCTTCCCTGGGCCTGGCCCTGCTCCCCTCGACGGTGGAAGTGGGTGTAAGATGTTGATGGTGGTGAAGAGAGTAGTGACTCCACTTGGGCCCTGTGGCTGCCTTCCTCTTTTGTCAGCTCCGTTGGAGTGGGGTCTTCAGGCTCTCCAAGAGCACTGAGTGTTCAGGACAAGACCTTGTACAAGTGGTTTTCAATAAATATTTTTCTAGTAACCTGAGTGACTGTGTTCTAGGGACAGAGGAAAGTCAGGTTCCCAGGGCTGCATTTAAGGACACCCCTTGTCATCCTGTGCCCATGGTCATTTCCAGGGTATAGAATGGAAAGGATGGTCTAGTGAAATATCCTGGCAAAGACTCCTGCCTCTAAGCCTGATGATATGAGTTTGACCCCACATGATAGAATCTGTCAACCCTGAGAAGTTGTCCTCTGACTTCCAAATGTACGCTATGGCACATGCCTGTGAGTGTACACACAAGCACACATGCATGTACAAAAATGTAATAAAAACTCTTAGAATAATTTTTCAAGGGAGGGGCATCTGAGCCTGTCCTTAGCGCTCTCTCTCAGGGTGGCAGTGGTGAGGGCACAAGTCAAGGTTAATCTTGGCCACAAATTCTCAGGAGGGACCATCAGACTAGAGAGGCTTTTGGAAGGAGGTAATCGATACTGAATACCTGCCTTCTTTGCCTCATCTATTTTTTTTATTTGTGTATTAATTCCTCTGTAAGTTTCTTTGCATCATGTATAACTCTCTGGAGCAAGAGTTAGATAGTTGTGAGCTACCACATAGCTGCTGGGAACTGAACGCAGGCGTGAGAGAGCGGCAGGTGCTGAGCCAGCTCTCCAGTCCTTCTTTTGGCTTCTTGTCCAAACCACTTCCCCTCACCTCTGTCTGGTCCATATTAGGCAACCATGTACTGAGCCTGTAGTCTTCAGGATGCTGCCCTTTGGATGCCCTTTGGGATACCTGGGGAGACTGGGTTTGATGGCACTTTAGGACATTTGCCTTGGCCTAACTTTAAAAATCAAGCTTCAGCCAGTTTCCATATTAGCATTTCCCAGCATGAGGCAAATTCTCTGAAGTGCACAGTGCATAGTTTTGGCTCTGAGGCCCTCCAAGCAAAACATCTCTCCTGCATCTTGGCAGTTGTAGGGGCTGCTCATAGAAAGATCCAGTAAGAGCAGGGTGCAGTGACACATGTCTTTAATTCCAGCACTCAGGAGGCAGAGGCAGGCAGATCTTGGGGAGTCCGAGGCCAGCATGGTCTACAAAGTGACCAGGACAGCCAGAGCTACATAGTGAAACCCTATCACAAAGAAAAAGTAATTCAATAAGGTCATCCTGGCATGGATATCCAGAGAGTGGTAGGCCTGAGGTAAGGAATTGTAGCAGCACCCTTAAGGCATCTGCACACCTGGGCACTTACTTGTCCCTCCTTCCGCTTAATGTCTCCTGTCTTTTATCTCATAGCAGGTAAATAGGGATTGGGGGATGTATCTGCACCTTCTGATGCTAACAGCCCCATCAACACACAGGCCCCTGGAAGAGACTGGAGAAGGAGATGGAAAAATTGCCATGGAAGTGGAGGACATTGGGATCAGAACGCACAGCGCTCAGGGCCACATGAAGTCTCTTGGGGATGTACCAGCACCCTCATTGCCTGGAGCTGCCTCTTCTGTCCCCTTTTGGGTGGGTTAGGAGTCAGGCACAATCTGCAAAGTCTAGAGTAAGCCTGGGAAGGGAGGTGGAGCCTAGGGGCATCTCCCAGCTTGCCTATCACACCACACCCCTAGGTTCTGAGCCGTAGGCAGTCCTGCCTTGCCCTGGAACTGCCACAAGTGGGGCATCCCCAAATAGCATGACGTGTGCAGACTACTGTCTTCTGGAAACTCCTCCGTGGGTGACTGATGGGTGTGATAGAGATGGCGGGAGATTCTGCAGGGTGGGGTGAGGGATGTGGTAGTCTCCGGGGTACCCTCGCCCTGCTGTCAGCAACGCCCCCAATTCCGCTCATGTTCGCCTCAGGGGCATAAGATAAACTGTGCCAGCCTGTTAGATCTGGGGATTTCCACGAGAGCCGTGAGCTGTGCAGGGTCTGCTCAGTTCTCCAGGGCTGAGAGTTTGTAGTCAAGTAGGGACAGTGTCCATGACTGCAAGCAGGTGAGTGTGAAATCCAGGAGAACTAGAAATGTGGGGAAGAGGATCGGCTGAAAAGATCCTGCTGCAGAAGCCTCCTGCCACCCAGCAGAGACCATTCCAGACACTGCCTTCTGAAGTTGGGATAGCATTTACCCATCTGCAGAGTCTGGCTGCCACAGCAGCCGAGGTGTGTCTCTGCTAGGCCTAGACTAGCAGGAGGGAGGCTTCACTGCAATTCCCAGAAACCCCTACCCCACAGTAGCCGCTCTCCATTTCTTCCGGAAAACCACAGCGCACACACCCCCCTTGGCCTTGATAAATTTTGTTCTCAGATAAAGACCGGCTCAGTTCCCAGAAATGCTTCCGGCCACAGCTGGTGACTCCTGCCCAGCCTCCACCCTCTCACTTGCTGAGAGCCCACACTTTATTCAGTGGGAGACGTGCCCCAGCTTGAGAGAAAGACCTGTATCATGGAAAGTGAGAAGTCGCTTTCTTTTTACAACTCGACAACCCCTCCCCCAACTCCAGACAGCTGTCCAGAGACCTTGGGGGGCAGAGATGTGGGTAATGACTGTCCCTAGCTGCTGAGGCATGTTCCCACTGGCCAGGTAGTACCTCAACATCTAGGTCTTCTACTGGGCTGGGCTCACATCTCTGGGACTGTCCCTTATACAGCCACTAGCCCCTATGAGAAGCAGCTGAGTGGGGAAAGCAGGTAGACATCCATCCCTTACCTACCCCGTCTTCCCAAGAAGCTCCATGAATTAAGGTGATTTTCTGAAGACCAGGCACTATCTCTTCTGGCCCCTTTTTAGAACGGGGGGGGTGGGTAGAGTGGGAAGGTATGTAGGATGTCCCACTATTGTCTGACTGAAGCTAAGATACTCAGAAAAATCCAGACCCTACAGTGTGTGTGTGCGTGCGTGTGCACGTGTGTGTGCGTGTGCACGTGTGTATGCGTGTGCATGTGCACATGTGTGTGTGTGGATGTGTGTGTGTGGTAAAGGTCTGATTTCAGGGACAACAGAAGGCACAGGGTGCTGGGGTCAGAGCCGTGAGTAGCTCAATTCCCCACATCTTCTGAAGGAAACTCTTGACACTTTTAACAGGAGGGCCTCAGGATTCTCTCAGGAGAACAGGGAAAGAGTGATATAGAAGCATTGGAGGACATATTCAGCTGCCAGGAGCCCCGTTCTTGGGTGACCAACCCCAGTGGCAATCAGTTGCTCTGTAGGGCCAGCCCAGAGTTGAAGCCATCATTTGGCTCCTTAACCCCTGGTTCTGTCATATTGTTTGAATATCAGAGAATACCTTGAAGCTGCCAGATTGCCAGATGTTCAGATGCCCCAGGTCCCTCTCTCCCCAGAGTTTGATGAGGTCCTAAACTCAGGGCTCTGGGGGACTTACATGTTGGCTGTAAAGAGCTGAGGAGGATCTGGAGGGGGTTGATGGGGAACGAGTGGGCAGCAGGAGGGCCCTGAAAACCTTATTTTTTGACATGCTCTGCAGCTGCCAGGAATGAAGGGTAGCAGACAGCCCAAGCCCTTGGGGAGCCTGTGGATGGCACAGCAGGACAGACTACTGCCAACAAGTATTTGTTACATCATGGTCTCAGTAGAGGCTCCATGTCCCCACAACAACAGTGGAAGCATCTTTCTCCTGAGAGCTTTGTTACCTGTACTGACATGGTACAACCCTCCTGGGGGGGGCAGGGCTGCAGCTTCATGTGGTGGGGAGAGCAGAAATGTTTGTGATGCCAGTGATGGGGACACAGCTCTGACTTGGTCAGGGAACTGTGTGGAGGGGAGAGGCTATAGGAAACCTAGGACTTTGAGGTGGTACAAGTTGAGAATGTAGTGACAGGTGGCCCCAAGGGACGTGGCTAGTAGCACCGTGGCTGCCAACAAAAATGTGACCTTGATCCCAGGAACAAGTGTGGATTCGCCAAGATCTAGGGCACTTAGGCTCTGGGGAGGCTGGGTTTCATTTTCTTAGCTTTAGTGGGCTTCAGAGCAGATAGATCAGAGACCCTCTGACCAGGGACAGACAGGCTTTTCCTGAGCTGTTACAGGAGATGCTGGACTTGGTCACCTAAAGACAAGAGTGTGCTTGTAGTACACCTTGTACTTCATGTTCTAGGCCACAACAAGAAGAATGAACTTGGAGCATCTGGGGTGGAGCAGGCAGTTTGAATGGAGAAGGGTTGTAGGGGGTGTGCAGAGATGTGGGATGCTCACAAGCTAAAGTAGGGTCTCTATGATAATTTCCTTGGGATCTGAGGGCCTCACTTTACCTCTCTGAGCCTCAGTTGTTCTACTGTTAGGAGTTCCTGGAAGGGAACTTCCCGGTATGCTGACAGAGCCCTCTACTGGTGGCCAGACATTGCATCTTAGAAACTGCCACAGTTTAGATTATAGTGCAAGGATCCCTTACCTCCTGAGGGATTTTGCTCCAATAAAGAACAGGGATCAGTCTGACATTTCTCCCACATGATGGAGCTAAGTCTGATGTTTGGGACCAATTAAAGGTCAGAAGGGAGAACAAGGAAGAGGAATCTGCTCCCTTGGATATGCAAGAGAGTATTCAAGCTGAGCAGGTCTTTTTGGAAGTTGGTAGGAGGTTGTCTTTGGAGTTTTGTGGGTAGGGGTGGGGTAACTTGAGGGGACGAGTTGGCTGCAGGGACTTAAAGGCAGGATTTTGGCCACTTTGATGTAAAATGTGAGGTGGTCAGAGGTCTCCTTTCAAACCTCCATGCTAACTAAGAACATGACTATTGCAGGGGGTGGCAGGGAAGGAGGAAGAGCAGTCACGAATGTCAGCTTAATGTCTTCCTTCTCCTGTCTTGACCTCCACTGTACCTCTCATCCCTGATAAGCTCCAGGGCCTTTGTAGGGAAGTAGGCTGTAGACCCTGTTCCACAGTGTCTGAACGGCCAGAAAGAAAGATGGTGGGCAAGATGAGGATGAATCCGGCACTGCTCCAGAATAGTAATGGGGTAGGGTAGGACTTCCAGAGTTCCATGAGCATCCAAGACCTTTCCTGGGGACTCCATGGAACAGAGGAGTGAGTCCCAATGCCAGGTTGCAGAGGTCATGAAGGCCATGGAGTTTTAGGAGGATCTTACAGGGTGAGAAAGAGCAATAAGTGGGAACCCAGGATTTGGTGGGCTGCCCCATAGAAGGAAAAACAGGTCAATGAAGTTTTTCCCTTTCTGAAGGATGCACTCCCATTCTGCACGCAGCTCCCTCTCCTTCCGCTAAGGACAACCGAGGAGCAAAGAGAGGAGGGTTACAGAAGGGCTTGGGGCGCCCAGGTGGGACCGGCTTCTGGAGGCCGCGTTTGTCACAAAGTAGCTTTTATAGGTCCCGGAGAGGGCACGGCCGCGAGCAGGGTCGCTGGATGCTTGTGGTGGCTAGGAGCCCCGGTGGCTCGCGCTCCTCTGTTCCTCCTCGCGCTCTTCCTCGGACGGCTCCAGGGAGGGCTCTCCAGTCGCGCCCCTGCTGTCTTCTGGGGACCCAGAACAAAGAGAGGGCTCGGACTCCGCTCCGGACCTTCCGCTGGAGTCAGGCAACCGCGATTTGCGGAAGGCGCATATGGGAGCAGGCCTGGGAGGCACCGGCTTGCGTGCTCCAGGTCGGTCGGCTGTGGCACGTGCTGAGGACAGTGCAGAGGTTGCTACCTCACTGGCGGGCCTGGGAGGCGGCGGCGGTGGCGGCGGAGGCAGGCGGGCAAGGGGACGCGAGCCCCCCAAGCGCGGCCACACGTCCATAGTCTCGCCGTTGTAAAGGAGCACGAACTGACGCTGTGACAGCAGAGGCAGCATCTTCTGACAATGCAAGCTCTTTTGGCAGGTCTCAATAGCTAGATCTGTAAGGAGGATAAGGTGAGTGAAGAGTGGGCAGTTTGGAGCAGGGCAACTTCTCCAGCATGTCTGGAAATAAGGGAGGAAAGGCATCCGTGAGGGGTTAGACGTAGGTAGGTCAGGTGACAGAGACATTGGAGCAGAAAGAGGGCTTGGGGGCCATGCAGATTATGGGGTGTTGGGAAACCAGACTTGTGGAGTCTGAACTTGGAGGCAAGCTGGATGGGTTACCCAGAACTGGACAAAGAAGCAGACGGGAATGCTGTGACAAGGGGCTGCCCAGAGCTCACCCAAAGTCTCCATAACCACACCAGGGATCACCTCCTTCAGAACTTCACAGTTGGTATGTAGGGCAGGATTGGAGTTCATCTCCAGCAGCCACACCTGCAGCAGACAGCGGTCAGCGTCCCTATCCACTTCCAGCCCAGTTGGCCAGTAAGAAGATTGTATTCTGGGCCCTATTAAGCTATGTGATTCTGGGCAGATTGTATCTTTCCACGGCTTTTTCCCCCATGTTTGCTCAAGGAGTTAAGACTGCTCTTGAGGACTGCTCAGTTCCAGTAGGAGAAGAGCTTTATGACACATCTGACTTTAGGGCTGAGCCCACCCATTGGGCCTGCTTACGTGGTCATTGTACAGATGGGCCCTACCTCCTTGTGCCAGCCTACCAGACCTCATCTTCCCAAGACAGCACCTTGAAGTTCTCATCAATCAGGAAATCACAGCCAATGAGATCAAAGTAACCCAGCTTGCATTCCAGCTTGGACTTGACCGCCAGGAAGCAGTGGGCCATGATCTGCTGCATCCGCTTCTGTGGGCAAAGCAGGGAGAGATCCTGGCTGTGGCGGGTTGACCAGGTCAAGTCACCTCTCACTCGCCCGCGTAGCTCTAACTGCCCACACCTTCACATGCTCAGAGTTACAGGCTCACAGTCAGAAATACAGTATGATTTTGTTGGGTGTATTTCTGACTGTGAGCCTGTAACTCTGAGATACAACAGTGAAGAAAATTAGAAGTCGCAGCAGAGAGACAGACAACCAGAACACACAAAACCCTGGTAGAACGGAGGACATGATAGCACTTCAAGTTGCCTTAGTTAGAAGCTTGGGGAGAGGAATCAACCCAGCAGGTATAGGTACTGAGAACCCAAGAAAGAAAGGAAAGGGGCAAGGTATTGTAAGAAATGACAGAAAGGTTCCTATTTTTGATGTAAAACATTAATCTCTAAATTTAAATGGTACAATTACGCCCAAGAAGGATAGATTAATAGACGTTTCATCTCACAAGCAGACTTTCAAAAGATGGAGAGGGTTTGGGAGACAGCACTGTCAACAAAGCACATGCTAACAAGCTGAGGACTTTAACTCAGTCCTCAGAACCCATGTAAGCTGGTGTAATGGTTCTTTGTTTGCAATCCTTGTGCTGGGACAGCAGACACAAACAGATCCAGTAAACTTCAAGTCAATAAAGATGACTCTGTCTCTTATAATGAGGACACCATTGGGGAACAGCACCTGATGTTGACCTCTGACCTCCATAATTGCACACATATACCCATAAGGCATGAGATATACACAAACACATGCACATACAAAATCATAAAAAAAGACAGAGAATGTTGAAATTAGCAAGAGAGAACCTATTCATCACATAAAATGGATACTCAATAAGATAATAGTCAATTTCTCATCAGAAATCATGAGGCCCGAATGGAGTGATATATTTCAAATGCTGAAAGAAAAAACTGCCAACCAAGAATTCTATCTACAAAGGCTAAAAAGAGAAGTGCTTAGCTGGCCAAGTGCCATCTGTACAAGCACAGATTTCAGTACCCTAGAATGTATAAATAGCCAAACATGGCAATTGCAAGCCTGTAGCCCTAGTCTTTGGTGGTGATAAAGGCAGATTCTCTTAGTAAGAGACCCTGTCCCAAAAGATAAAGGTGGAGTGACCGAGGACAGACACAAGACATCTGCTCCAGGCCTCCACATGTATGTGCTACAGGTACAGACATCACAGACATGCACAGCACATATGCACACACAAATAGTAAAAAGAATGTCTCTACCCAACAAAATGATACTTCAAGAATAGGGAAATTAGGAACTGGAGATATGGCTCAGCTGTTAAGAACACTTGACTGTTTTTTTTTTAAAAAAAAGATTATTTATTTATTATGTATATAGTATTCTCAGGATTCTGTCTGCATGTATGCCTGGTAGCATGTATGCCAGATTTCATTACAGATGGTTGTGAGACACCATGCAGTTGCTGGGAATTGAACTCAGGACCTTTGGAAGAGCAGGCAGTGCTCTTAACCACTGAGCCATCTCTCCAGTCCCCACACTTGACTGTTCTTGCAAAGAACCCCATTTAGGTTTCCAGAGTCCACATAAGGCCGTCCACAATCTCTTCTAACTCTAGTTCCAAGGGATCCAAAGCCTACTTCTGGCCTCTGTGAGCACCAGACACACACATGGTACCCATACATACATGCAGGCACTCAAACACATAAAAAAATTTAAATCTCTTTTTTTTATTGAAAAAAGTAAGACATTCCCACATAAGGCCAGGTGTGATGGCACACACCTTTAACACCAGCACTCAAGAGACAGAGGCAGGCAGATCTCTGTAAGTTTGAGGCCAGCCTGGACTACATGGTGAGACCCAGTCTCAAAAAACATATAAACGAAAAGACATTTCCACATAAGGAAAAGTAGAGGCATGCCTTCCCTGTAGTCTTTCCAAAAGTAAATTGAACTTGCATGAAGAAATAAAAATAAGAACCCTAGTAAAGGTGACTCTGTTAAGTAAAAGACAGCATGTGTTTTTTTTTTCCACCTGAAATTGATTTTCCTAAAAAGACAACTGAAGAAAGCAGATATAAAGTCAGTACAATAGAGAATAGAGCTATATAATTTGGAAGAGGGTTGAAATTAACTATGTGAATTTGAATAATTAGGATTAAGATGTTAATGGTAATCCCAAATGCAACCATTAAGAAGACAATAAGATTACAACTAAAAGACACACTAGAAAACATATCTACTCCAATAAGAGGTAGTCGTTGAGGAAGTAAACAGAAGACATATGAGACATAGAAAATAAACAGTGCCGGGCGGTGAAGGCCGACACTTTTAATCCCAGCACTTGGGAGGTAGAGGCAGGTGGATTTCTGTGAGTTCGAAGCAAACCTGGTCTACAGAGTGAGTTTCAGGACAGCCAGGGCTACACAGAGAAACCTTGTCTCAAAAAAGACAAAATAAATAATAGATAGGTAGATAAATAGGTAGATAGATAGATAGATAGATAGATAGATAGATAGATAGATAGATAGATGATTGGACTATGTACATAGATGGCTAAAAAGTAAGCAGAAGACTTGACCAACACTCTGAACAGACGGGTTGATGGGTTGGACAGGACTGGTAAGCTGGCTCAGTAAAGCTGGTGCTTGCTGTGCAAGCCTGGTGACCTGAGCTTGATTCCTAGAACCTGTTGTGGCCTCAGCACATACAACATCACACACACACACACACACACACACACACACACCACACACACACACGACAACAAGATGACTCAGTGGGTAAAGACACTTGTCACACCAGTCTCAGGACGTGAGCTCAGTCCCCAGGTCCCACAGAAGAGGAAAGATGCTGCCCTCTGACCTCAACATTCTCACCCTGGCACGTGTTTGCCTGCACTCACGCACATACAGTAATGTATAAGACAAAGGCGGGTAAGGTGGCTTAGCTAATAAGGGTGCTTGATGCCAAGCCTAGCCACTTAAGATTCGTCCCAGGACCCACACAGTGGAGGGAGAGTTCCTGAAAGTCATCCTCCATATATGAGCAGTGACCTTCCTCCCCACCCCAAAAAGGATGTTAAAAATGTATTTAACATTGAATGTGGTAACCTATGCCTTTAATCCTAGCACTCAGGAGGCAAAGGTAGGTGAATGTCTTATCTCTTACTGATTTGAGGCCAGTCTGGTCTACATAGTAAATTCCAGGCTAGTCAAGGCTACATACTGAGACTTTCTTTCAAAAAAACAAAACAATAACAACAACAACAACAAAACAAAAAACAAAAAGCTAGACTCCACAGACCTTTACAGAACCTTCTAAGGAACAGTGGGTTATATGATCTTCTCAAACGCCCAGGAATGTTTGTGTGCATGTGTGCCTGCCTGTCTGTTATGGTGTGAATGTGCAATGTGTGTGGTCTATGCATGTTAGTGTGCCAAAGTGCACGCCTGTGGATATGCTTCCAGAGTGTGTGTTCTCTGGACCTAGGCTGTGCAGCCTAGGATGTCTTCCTTTATCAGTCTATGCCTTATTGCCTGGAGACAGGGTTTCTCAATGGACTAGGATCTTACCTTTCCAGCTAGGCTGGCTAGCCAGCAAGCTCTCAGACTCTAACTGCCTCTACTCTTCAGGCATGCACAGCCACATATGGCTTTTTATATGGATATTGGAGATTCTAACTCATGCTTGTAGATAAAGTGCTCTTAACCACAGATCTATCTTCTTAGCCTCCAAAGAACGTTTTAAAGATACAACATGTATCGGGGTAAAAAGTTTTCATTCATTAATTTTTTTTGTGTGGTAGGTTAGAGCCCAAAGCTCTTCTGTATGCTACGTAAATGCTCTACCACTGAGCATAATCCTCGCCCTCTGTGTAGCTGAATATGTGTTGAGTTATTGAAACTCCTGCCTCTACCTCCCAAATGGTAGGATTACAGGCATTGTGCTACCCCACCTGGCTCCTGGCTTTTTGTTTTTCAACTTTTCTTTCTTTCCCCCCTTCCTTCCCTCTTCCTTCCTTCTTGCTTTTCTTTTTCTTTCTTCTTTCCTTTCTACTTCTTCTTTCTTTTTTCTTCCCTCCTTTCTTTTTTCTCTCTCTCCCTTCCTTTCTCTCTCTCTCCCTCTTTCTGTTCCTCCTCTTCCTTCTCTCTCCTCTCCTTTTCCCTCATCCCCCAGTAGACCTTGCCATGCAACTCTTATTGGCCTGAAGCTATATACATCGGACTGGCTTAGAACTCACAGAGACGCTTGCCTCTGCCTCCCATATGTTGGGATGAAAGAAGTGCACCACCATGCCCAACATAGTAAAATGAATTTAAGGAAACACTGTAAACATATGTACACTAAATATATTACATAAGCAAGGAGAACCGCAAAAATCACTAGGAAAAACTAATACATATCAAAATTTTAAAACAATCAAGAATAGAAAAATCTTTTTTTTAAAGCCTGCAATTTTTTAAAGATTTATTTATTCATTTTGCATACAATATTCTGTCTGCGTGTATGCCTGCAGCCCAGAAGAGGGCGCCAGATCTCATTACAGATAGTTGTGAGCCATCATGTGGTGGCTGGGAATTGAACTCAGGCCCTTTGGAAGAGCAGTCAATGCTCTTAACCTCTGAGCCATCTCTCCAGCCCCCAAGAATAGAAAAATCTTAATCGACATCAACCAAGAGAGATTGAGGAGTGATGGGAAACCAGTATTAATGGCAAAACTTCCCTCCAACGAAAAGTCCAGGCTACTTCACAGGATGTGCCAATGTTTTGTTTTTGTTTTTGTTTTTCTCATTATAACAAATACCCGAGAGAATTACTTTCAAAGAGTAAAGGCTTTTTGCTTCATAGTTTCATAGGTTTCCAACTACAGTTTCTCAGGTTTGAGCAGGGCAGACTCTCACAAGAGCGAGAATGTGTCACAGCCTGCTCATCTCTTTATCAGTTTGATCATAGACCTCAAAGCTCTAAAATTATGAGCCAGAATAAAATATCAAGACACTTTCTATAGTAAAGGGAAATGATACATTTTCATATCAAAATCAGATAAAACACTAAAGAAAAGCTATAGGTCAGCATTACTTATGAGCACAGACACAAAAATACTTAAATACGATAAAATCAAACCCAAAAGCATATTAGAATTATTATATACTACTACCACCTGGAATTTATGCTGGAGACATAAGAGCAGTGAAAGTTAACCAATGCAATACACATGAATAGAATGATGGAAAAATAACACATGATCATCTTAATCAGTACAGGAACAACATTTCATATTACTACCCTTAAAAAATACTTAGTACACTAGGAGAGAAGAGAATTTGTGAGACTTTCCCTCAAATCGGAAGAAATACAAGGATATCTACTTTTGTCTCTTCAACATGATATTGAAAATGACACCTAGAACAATTAGACATGGCTTTACTACAACTGCATACGCTTCAATGACTCATGAAAAGCCATGTGCCTCGCCCAAACCAAACATGGACACAGATTCCCGACTTGAAGCCAGACTGACCGTGAAGGTGGTGAAGACCCAGTCTCTGGGGAGGCCCTTGGTCTTTCTAAACTTGTCATTGATGTATCGGTTGAGGTGTTCCATGCTCCACACAGTGCCTTCTTTCAGCAGCATGTACAGTGGACTCTTCTTCTGCATGAACTACAGCCAAAGCAGAGCCTAGAGGTCACTCTCCGAAGGAACCACTCTATGAAGGCTTTATCCTAACCTCTGACCTTCACAGAAGCTCCATTCCTGTCTCCCATGAAAACTGCCTCTGAGATGCTCACGCGTACACCTCCCAGTCAGAAAATCCCCACAGACCCTAAACAAGGGACCTCTTGTTCCAGACTCCCATTCGACCTTTGGCTCTAAGGTCCTTCTGTAGGACACCTTAGTCTCTGCTGGGGTAAAAGGTAGAAAAAGGCTGCTAAGCCACTCCCAAACCCAGGCAGGCAGTCTATAACCAGACCCTTCCTCTGTGCTCCCAAGCAATCAGAGTATTTCTCTGAGCTCATTCACGCCTATAGAAAAGGGGCTTCACCCATAAGGGGTTCTTACCTGATTGGTCAAGTGACCACTGAGGTCACTGGAATGAGGGTCATACAGCCTGAGGGTGAGGCGGGCGTAGCCATGGCCAAAAAAGACCATGTAGGGCATGGTACAGGCAATGAGCAGGTAGGAGCGCACATCAAACTTCTTCCCATCTAGCAGCAGTGGGTTCTGGATATATCTAGGGGGTACCATAAGGAGCACCTGGGACTGAGTTGCTTGGCCAGCTGGCCTAGAACTGTCAACCCCACAAGGACCATTTCCTCATTGCCTCCCACCTGTCCTAGACATGACAGCTAGCTGAACACTGTCCGTGGTCAGAGGACATTTCTGAGTTGGAAGTGGTCAGAGGAATTGGGAAGAGGGCCTCATAACCAAATCTCTATCTACTGCAAGTGTCTGGCCACCTTAAGGAGTAGCTCCCTTAGGAAGTTTATGGGAGCAGATTGGGCCCCTGTGGCAGGGAAGGCCATCTGGAGGAGGAAGGCTGACATTGGATCATGAACGGTGAATGGCTTTGGAAGGGAGAGAGCGTTCCATATAGGACACTTCAGATCTTCAAGACTTAAGGTAGGGAGCGCATGTTTGGGAGGGCCCTATAGAAGGGGAACAAGGCAGCAAATAGCAGCCATGGCCAGAGAAAGGGTAAATATTGGCAGAGGGTAAGGCATCCTTTCTAAAGGTGATCTGAATTTTCCCTCCTAGTCCTATGTGAAACTGAGGATCTGGACCCCACTGTAGGCAGACGGACCATTGGTCAGCTCTGTGTTGCAGACAGGTTGTAGCTGGCTGGCTGGGCTGGAGAGTAGGGAAGACAGATACAGGACGGAGGACATAGGGACCAAGCCCTCCTCGATGAGCCCCACCACCACCACAGTGAGCCTGTGTTTAGGGGCAGTCTTATCTGCCACCCCAGTTAACTGTGGCACCTCCTCTGAGCAGCCTGTAGGGCTAGATGTGGGCTGCTTGAGGCAAGTTGTTTGGATGCTACAGCCTGAAATGGCCAAGGGCTTCTCCGCAGAACTGTTTACTACCACCACGCACCAACTAGTCTGGATTATCCCTGCTGAGACCCAGGCCCTTCCTGGCATCCACGCCCACACCTCTGCACCACCCGCGCCTGAGGTGCACGGAAGGGCATCTTGCGGTAGATGGGGTCGTCCTCAATGCTCTGGGTCTTGGCCTGCAGGGCAGCAGCCTCCTCCTGGCTCCTGATCAGAAAGATGCCCTTTCCCTGGTTGGAGGCCGTGGGCTTGCAGATCCATATCTGGGTTTCTGCAGGGAGTAACCCCTGAGCCTCTGGCCCTGAGTACTCCTTGCCCCTCCCATCCCTCACCCTGCCCTGACCCTGACCACACCCCAGCCTTGACCTCCCCTTTCTTTATCCCTCCCCCTCAGCCCTGACCACTTCGACCAGCTCCAACTGGCTTCAACCCTTGTCCTACCCTGATTTCACTACCTCACCCCAGTTTAGAGGGCGGTTCCTTTGTCTCACCTTAATCATACCCATAATCTGGTTATGGCCCTGCCACACCCCTACCCCTACTAAGGCTACCACCCTTTCTCCAACCCCTTAACACCAGATACCACCAAGTCCCAAGCCCTGGCTTCGCTTTTCCTCTCAGGCATTATTCCACTTTTTCCAGGTCTGGCCTTGCCCAACCCTCTGCCCACCCTGCTGGGCTCCGACCCTGATCTTTTCTACCCTTTAAGAATGCCTGGCCCTACCCAGGGGCCTCTCACCATCAAATAGTGTGAAGAAAGTCTGTCTCTCGTCCCTGATGTCCAGCCGATAGGTCTCTGGGAAAAACTCGTCCATTTTCAGGACCCTTGGGAGAGCAGGGGGTGAAGACATGGAGAGGGCTGTCCTCAGGCGTCAACTTGGCCAGTGATATGGTAGTTTGACCTGTAGGTTAGCTGGAAGGGGCTGCCAGGTGTCTCCCAGCCTTTTTTGCTATTTCCTTTGCGAGGCATTTGTTCACACCGTGTCCTTGCAGAATATCCTTTAACGTGTCTCATACTCTGACCTTCTCTGTGGCAGCCTGCCTTCTGGCTGCCAGACCCACTGTGGCTCCTCCATCCCATCTCCCTGCTCTCTCCCTCCCAATTGCTCTCTTCTATGTGGGTTGATTTCCAATGCGAAGACTCTGCCTGGCATAGAATCACAGTACGTATCTGGGCTCCCAAACTGCTTTTCATTATAATTCAGTTCTGGTCTCTCTCAGCTATCTACCTCCGTGGCCCAAGGCATCCCGGGCTGGCCCACGTAAGCTCCCAAGCGTCCCAAAGGGACATACGTCCTGGTCTGTTTGTAGATGTGGGTGGAGTACGCAGAGTGGGAGTATAGATGGGCATGGGGGTAGGCGGGCAGACGAGTCGCTGGTCAAAGTTAGTAAGAGGTAGACAGCTGGAGACACAGATGTCTAGATGGTGTTATAGATGGCTGTGTCTAAATGCTACCTTAAGGTGCTGACAGTGAGCATTTGGTTGGATGAGAAGCTAGATCTCTAAATAAACATTTGGGTGAATAAATGGCTAGGCAGGTAATCAGTGAACCATTGAGAGGTTCAGCTTGGTAGGGTTAGAGGAAACCAGATGGATGTGGCTGAATGGGTAAGAATGAGTGGGAGCAAAATGTTGGCTAAGTGGGCAGAGCAATGGATGAGTACTGAGGGACATCCATGGGTGGCTATTGTGGGCAGAGAGTAAAGATATCTGAGCAAAGGATGGTGGGCATGTGCTGGAGGAGAAGCAGACTGCTAGACCAGCGGGGAGCGGGGAGGAACATTTAAAGGAGAGTGGTTGCTGAGGAACGTTTATGGAATGGGGAAAATGGTCCTAAAGAGACAAAATGGAGGTAGAAATGGGTGCGCCCCTGGGGCTGGGCAGGGTGGGCTCACTTGGTTTGGGTGCTGGGCAGCAGCCTGGCTTTGCTCAAAGTGCGTGTATGCTCCCGCAGGGCACAGAGCAACCCGATCTTGGTGGTAAGCAGCTTATTGTTGGGGAGCTGGAACAGCAACTGCTGGCCTGGCAGGACAGAAAGGATTATGTGGGTGGTGCCTTGAAGCTGCTCCCCACATCCGCTTCCCTCAGGGTGTCCCCTACCTTCCCGGAAGCTGCAGTAGTTGTCCCTGGACTTGATCTCACACCACTTCAGCCTGTAATCCTCACAGCGGCTGTCCTGAGTGCGTTGCCAGCCCTTGCTCTCACAGTAGCTGCTGATTCTGTAGGGTAAAAGGCAGTAGTAACCGGGGGCCCTGGGGTTGTCTGAGGAAGACAGGGCAGGAGTGGCTTGCCCTAGAGCAGAATCATGGGCTAAGTCCAGGCCAGGGGTGGGTGGGAATGCAGACCAGGGCTGCTCAAAGTCCACTCACATTGATGCTCCATTGGTGCCTCCGATGTAAAAGAAAGGGCCCTGACCTGGACTGGGCTGCTTGTCCCCTTCCAGAAAGAGCCCCTCCAGGGAGGTCACAGGGAGTCTGGCAGCTTCTTCTTCCCCCAGGAGGTCTGTGGGCAGGTAGGTGGTCAGAGGCCTCAGGCTTCTGGCTCAGTAGGGTTTTTCCTGGGGGGCCCCCCCCCCCGCTCCAGCTGCCAGAAGCCCCACCTGCATCTTGGTCCAGCTGACTTAGCTCAGGCCGGAGCCCCTCCTCGACACTGCTCCCCATCCGTTTCTCATGGGTCCAGCCTGGAGATCAGTGCTGTCAGGTGGAGGAATGGGGAGGTACCCACTCTATCTGCCCAAGCCCAGGAAATGCCAGAAGCTGCTGGGAACGAACCCAACCCCTCTGGACCTCTCTTTGGCCCAACACAGACCTGACTGAGGGGTCTGAGGGTCATTGCACCCATGAAAGGAGGCAGTTTCCACCAGCCTTAAATCACGCAGAGTCCAGGTAGTGTAGAGACTACAGAGGGGATGAAGAGGGTGACCCCACCTCCACCCTCCTTACCAGCAGGGCCGGCTCCATGCAGGGAGTGGGCCGGAGTGTGAGACAGGAGCCCTTACAGACATGATGTGGGGATGTCTCCAGAGGGCAGAGGGTCACAATGTCTATGATGACATCATGGGTGACGCAAGGGTCTATGATCAACCAGCAGAGATGAGAGACTGCACTAAGTGGAGTTGGGGTAGGGAGTGCCCACTGTGATGGCATGGACAGGTAGAACCTGCAGATTCTTGAGCGTAGTGTCCCTAGTATGTTGTCCCCTGCTAACTTCTCTCAGAGCCTGGTGGACTGACTGGGCATGGCCCTGGAGGCCCTGACTTGAGAGTATGTGGAACCAGTCTCAGGGATACTCTGCATTCACCTGGTGCCCGAGTGTGGCATCGACGGATCCTGGACCGTTTGGGTCTCTTGGAGCTGACATGTGTCCGAGGGGGCTTACCCCGGCAGTGGATGAATCTTGTACGACTGCGTGTTGCAGGCATGAGGGCACCAGGGCGACGAACCCTTGAGGAAGATGTAGTCCCTACACCCCTCCGGGGTCTTCGAGCAGCTTGAGATCTCAGCCCTCGGATGGGGCAGACTGCTGGGCCCACCCTGCCTGGGGAAGGCTGCCTCCCCATGTCCTGGGCTGTGGCTTCAGCTTGTGGCTCACTTCCAGCTCTGTGATGGCCATGATGCCTTCCAGCCCGTGGGTGCAAGGCCATCTTTGCATTCTGTTTCCGCCGGGTGAGTCTTCTTCGGCTAAGACGGCCCCGACCTCGACGAGTGTGGCCTCTGTGTCTGCTGCAAATAGGGTGCCCATCAGTCTTTCTGTTGGTAGGGTGTCCCATCTGCAGGCTTGAAGGGCAAAAAGGCTCCTAGCCCTGATCAAAATTCCTACCAGTTTATGGCTACCCAGGTGCTCAGTCCTGGTTCTACTAACACAACCTGTTTAAAGCCGTCATCACTTTTCTTTCCCTACCACTCCTGCCCTGGACGCTGCCATTTTCTCTATTTTCCATCTTTAGAATATTTTAGGGCATTTAAAACCTATTCTTAGATGAATCTTTGTGCCTCACATTAAGGAAATAAACCCCATTTGTAGGACAGGACTGAGTGAGAAGATAGCACACAGAGGCTTGTGACTGGGAGGGGAAGACAAGTTGCTGCCCTTGGATAGGAGAAGGTCAGCTCTAAAGAGGAAACAGGTCTGTGGCTATAGAGTGATTGACAGCAAAGAAAAGTCAAGGACAGCAACCAGATGAAAGTCAAGCCATTCAGGCATTACGTACGTCTACCAATTCCATGCCTCCTGAACTGACAAGACAGGAAAAAATTTTCAAAAAGTTCTGTAGGGTAGAGAGAAAGCCTAGACTGAGAACCTCATACTTCTGTGGAGGGTAGGCTGCAAATGTTAAGGAATCCAGAGCGTCTGGAGACCCATTCCCACTTAGAAAAGCTTCCAGGAAGAGGTTGAGGTAGGAGCTTTAAAATTGAGCAGGATTGTAGGTGTGGGTGTGCAATTTGCAATCCCTGGGGGAGTCCTAGTGTACTCCAGCGGGTTTCCAGAACCCAGAGCATGGGGACCTGCTATGGAAATGGAACCTTAAGACACTGGTGTCCAGTATTGTCTACAGCCCCAGGGAGATCTTAGGAGGTCTTCTAGGTATGAACAAGAGGAACATACAGACACACACAGAGGAAGGAGAATTTGGAAACTGAAGGACTCTACCTCACTTCTAGAATGTGTTTGGGAGTGAGAGAGATACTGTTTCCTAAAGAGGTGCTCAATTCTATCAGAACAGGAAGGAGCCTGTGGGAATTAAACATGAAACATAAAGGTCAGAATTAAGTCCAGGAAATTGTTCAGGAAGAACTGAGGACAGGGCCAAAAGGATCAAACCAAATACAAACCCACAGAGACTCAACATTGTAGCTTGTTGAGAGACAAGGAAAGGCTATTTGGAGTTAGGGGCGGGGTTGCCCTGTGGTCAACCAGAGCCGTCTACCCTTTGAGGAGGGCACACGTTTCCAGGAACCTAGGGAAGTTGGGAACTAGCCTGAGCTTCTTTCAAAAATGAAAAAACAAAACCCCCACAAAACGACAAAAACTTTCTTTAAAAACCCTACTGAGTGAGTAGGAATATGTCTACCCAAGAGAGGTAGGGCTGTGAGGCAGCATCTAAGCTGAGACGCCGCCAGCGGCTGCCCCTGTCTAATGAGTGTGTTCCAGAGTCTCTCTCAGAGTGAGACCCAGAATCCAGAAAGGAAATTTCACAGTATAAGTGTCAGTTACTATTTCAGAAAGCAAGCTGTCCAATAATGAAACAAATCATGTGGTCATGGGTCTTGGGGAAAGCTCCAGGCGAGGAGCTAGACAGAAGCTTCAAGTCTTTATAATAAATTTAAAATAAACTTTTTACCTGGTCAGATAAAAAGACCGGCAGGAAATCACACCCCGGTACAATGGGCAGGAGATGCGTTTAAACCTGGAGAAGATGGCCAAGAAAATGACCACATCAGTGTTCTGCTGAAGCTTTCCCCAGACACAACGTTTGGCGACACAGGGCTCTGAGAAGATGCTGACATTTTCTGAAGGGCTGGTGCCTCCCGAGCAGCGCTCACTGTCTGGGGATGTGTTCTCTGTGGATCTCAGGAGGTGGCCCTTCTGAGGGGTCAGTTCTGGGGAGACAGACATGGCTCTAGGCAAAGAGCTCATCCTGAGGGATCCCAGCCCTCCCCAGAGCTTGAGTTACCCACATGGGTCAGTCCCACCCCACAAGACATTCCTCTCTTGGCTAAAACACTGGGGTTTGGAGAGAGTGGCCTCGGCAGAGGACTGAGCTCAGCCAAGCTGCCTGGTCCTCTCTCCTGTTTGTCTACTTCTGGAAAGGGCAAAAAACGGGGTACAGAAGGGCAAGCACTCAGCCTCAGCTCTGGTCAGGACCCTCAGCTGGTGACCAGCCAGTGTCTCTTACCTGCTCTGCAAGGTCTTAGGAAACCTTTGCTGGGATACAACAGTGGTGACCTGGCAACTGTCTCCAGGCAACTGTTACCCAGGAACTATGATTCAGCAGCTGCCCAGAGGTAAACAAGGGTTTCAGGTGGATGGTGAAAGGCGCCATTGTATGAGCTGAGGGGCAAAGCAAGCATTTCAGAAGGGAAGTCAAACTGGTCTGAGGAGGCTGGGGGGATGCTGAGGATAAGTAGGGGTCTGGCATAGACATCCCCCCCTATGTCTGAACCATCCTCTTGGTGCATCCTCTCGTGAATTCTTCCAGCATCATCCTGAGCATTCACGGGGACTCCTTAATCTAGACCTAGTAATATAGGCTCTGACACCAAGCATGGCTCAAAGTGGCTCTTGGCGCCAATTTGTAGTTCCCTATTGAAGTCCTCAGGACTCAGCGTGACTTCTGCTTTTGACCCCAAGTTTCCATCCTTATGAACCACACATCTCATCTTTCAGAGCCTTGTAAGGGTCAAAAAGTTTGATGGGATATACGGTGCTTCCTAAACACAAAATCGTATCTTGCGTCTTGGAGCCCATGGACATGACTATTTTTCAAAGAAAGGTCTGTACAGATGTGATCGAGTTAGAATCTCGGGAGAATCATCTTGCTCTAAACCCAACGACTGATAACATCCTCAGGGGGAAGCAGCGATAAGGGTATGCGGCCATAAGCCACAGGGCCTGTGAACTAAGAGGAGGAAACACAAGGCCTCCCCTTAGGGCCTTGGTGAGGTGTTGGGTGAATTTTGGACATTTTGAAACACAACTTCTGTTGTTTTAGGCTATCCCCTAGCCCTCCTCACCGTCAGGTTTCTTTGTGGTTCTGCCCATGTTAAGCTCTACTAATATGGCTCCTCCTTTGAGGTCTCTTCCCCAGTCTAAGCTGGGGGAGCAGGAGGTTGTGCTGGGCATAGCCGGCAGGGCATCATCTCCCAGCTGTGCCCAGAGTCCTGTGGGAATAGGAGTGCCCCCTATGAGATGTCATTTTTGATTTGTGGGACTGCTTACTGTCACGAATCCTGCTCTTCCTGAATGCTGTGTAGGGGACAGCATAGGAAACTAAGAAACTCCTCTGCCCCAGATTAGTAGGGTGGGACCGCAGGTGCCTGGGCGCGCACATAGCACTTCTGCCAAGGCCTGGGCTGAGTTATTGGGGCTTATGGTCCCCAGCCTGAGCAGGTAGTACACCCAGTCCTGGAGAGGCTCTGGACAAGTAGCCAGGAGTCACTGACCCTGGGGTATGAAGGACATTTCCAGTTCTCACTTCAGTGGTAGAATGATTGCTTTATTCATTCATGAGATTCACGAGACCCTGGGCTTGGTACTGCACAGAACAAACACCCACTTCTCAATCCAATGCTGACTCTTGGCTGGGATGGAAGCCCCATTTCCAGGGATCACTTGACCTTGTTATATTTTGGCATATATGTTGCATACCAGAGCCAGCTTGTGTATGGTGGGGATATAGTGAGCCCTCTGTCTCACTTCTGCAGGCCTTCTCTCTGGTGGGAGCACAGACCATTGGAATCCCTGTTTCTTCAGCCTGGTCCTTTGCAAAGCTGCTTGTCAATGTTTTGTATGGTTAAAATGAGATGATCAAAGTATAATTTCACAAAGCATAAAATTTATTGTCTTACCGAGATTTTTTTTCTGCCTTTTGTTTACAATGCTTAAAGAGAGGACAATACGGAGACTGCCCACCACAGGGAGCACAACAGACAGACAACCCCTCAGCCACATAGAAACAACCTGCAATGCAGGGTCCAGTTGCTCACTTGGGGCACAGCAAGCTTCTGTGGGAGGTGAAGCTCAATTTCCATATAATGGTTCTCTGGAGGGAATGGCCTGATTGATACTAAGAACCCTGTAAGAACATGTTGGGTCCTTTCTAGAGGGCAGTGGCTGAGGTAGGACTTGGCTGTGCTGGACTCAGGCTGTATTGGCCAACTTCAGGTTTGCATGAGTCGAGATGCAGAGGTAAATGACGTTTATGTGGGGTCTGAGAAGAGAAGAGGTTCCAGGGTTTCTTTGTACAATAGGACTGACTGTCCTGGAACTCACTTTGTAGAACAGTCTGGCCTTGTGCTCACAGAAATCTGCCTGTCTCTGCCTTCCAAGTGTTGGGATTAAAGGCACGCACCACCACCGCCCAGCCAGTTCTAGTTCTTATCACAGCAAAATACGTGTTGCTCATACAGTAAAGGATGTAAGAGTTGGGAATTATTCTGAAGTGACAGCTTTAGAAAGAGCCTTTTGAAAATTCTCAGGGCTAGGGGAGTGGGGTCTTTAAAATTGGGGTATTCAGCATCCAGAGTTAGGTTGAGGATGGCTCTCTGATCCTAAATACTGGAGGTGGTCTGCAGAGAGAGGGCTCATGAGCAGATGGCAATGCAGGACTCTGCAGCCTTCCGCACGTTCCCCGGACATGGGTCACATTCACCTGGTCTGGCACCTGAGCAGTACCCCCAGCCCTGAAACCCATATGCCCTATTTTCCACTCTGGATTTCAGCACAGTGATTAGCGTCGTTTCTGTTCTCCTTGGCTCCATGACCTGAGAAGTAAGGGAGGGGACTGAGGACCAAGGCTTTGGGTCTTCTCTGGCTGCACGCCAGCGTTGACAGCACAGGTACCGCAGAATCTGCAAATGCTGGCTGAGTACAGCTTGAGGTCTCTCGGCGTGAAGCCCAGTGGGCTACGGAGGCCACAGGCACTGTGAGAACTTCACTGACGGCTCCCAAAAAGGACAGTCACAGAGGCCTCGGGGTCTCACATCTTTGTTATACAACATCTTCTGTGGCTGTGACAGGTCGGAGGGAGGAGGTCAGGCCCAGGGGGCCTGTAGGCTCAGACTGTGGTCTCTTTGGCTAAGGGCATGGTGGCCCCAGCCCTGGACAGTTGTGCTATTGTACTCAGGCCTTGTTCTCTTTTCAATGGCCTTGAGGTGAGGTTGTCATCTCCAGCGGCGATAAGGCCATGGATGGACGGCATTACCAGACAGTATTAGACAGAGGCATCCAGATCTAACCATGTCTGGTAAGACATCCATCAGCAGGCAGCGTACTGTGCAAGGGCCTCCCCATCTGGGCAGTTAGTTCTGATCCAGTACCTGTGAAGGGAAGGTGGGATGGGCTGTGCTCCCTGACTGCGCTGGTCCCTCACCTTTCTGCAGAGCTGGTCCAAGGACTATTTAGGGGGGTGGCTGGGTCCTCCTAGGACCTGGGGTTACTCTGAGGACTTTCTTGCCAGGCCCCAGCCCAGTGCCTGGTCCCCAAGTGTGCAAACCTGTGGGTGCACCAGGGGAGTCATCTGTTCACTTCTTGTTCTTACTTGGCAAATGCTCATCACAACACTTCTTTGGTGTTCTGAATGGCTCTGGTTAATGAGTAACACTGAGGCCAGGAACAGACCCCCACTTCCACCCCCTCCCCAGGGAGAGGCATCTGGTCTCATGCTGGGTGGGGTTCCCTGGCCCTGTACTCTGGCTTCAAATAAAGAAAGATAAGAAGTAATCCTGGATTTGAGTTTGGGGGCAAAGTTCCTCTTCTGGGCAGTCACTAGGAAGGAATGGAGATTCCTTGTCCTTAATTAGGAACCAGTTGGTGACATCACAATGCTGTGTGAGAGGCTCAGGTTGGCACCTGATGGTTAAGAGTCCTTATGCAAACAGCGCCGTCCACCGTACCTCCTTGTTTCGCCCAGCATCCTGACCAACACTGACAGTCTCTCTAGGAATCAATGAACCCCAAAATCTAGCCAACAGGGGGGTTGGCAAAGATGGGCATAGCTGCTCTAGGAACAAGTGACTAGCTACCTCTACCCCAGGACCCCTGACATGGTGAAACCAGCCCTTGCCCCAAGTAATAGACAAAGATTCCCACTTTGGGCAGAGTCCAGCCTCCACTGACTGCTGAGCTGCAGAGCTGAGCCAGGCCCATTGCAAGCCCAGCACATCCTTAGCCCTGACCTATCTGGAGTCCAGGAGCCTAGGGCAAGAGCATCATCAGACCGTCTTCGGCGAGTGGTGGGTCACCTTTGAACATCGTTACCAGACAGTGTTAGAGTCAAGCCAAAAAATCCAGCACTGTCCGGTAAGATGCCCACAGAGACCCAGGTGAGCTTTGGCAGGAAGACACAGAGTAGGATTTGTGGTTTCCTCCCTCAGGGAGGACCAGTAGAGCCCTGGTGCCGTGACCAACTAGGCATTATATTTGCATTGGGACAGGCCGGCAGAGAGAGGCTGACCTCGACTCATACCGTCTGGTTTGTCCAAAGCAAGGGGACTGTGACACATTGGGTCGATACCCATGTTAGAGGTGCTGTTGGTCTGTAGGTCAGTGCCCACTTGATGCAGGAAGGGAAGGCACCCTAGGCCTGAGTAGCCCCACTAAGAGTCAGCACACATCTCTCAGATCTAGGTAAGGCAAATTTTGGCATGAGGCCCTCTGAGCCCAGGTTGGGCTTTAGTCAGAGGCTTTGTTACAGTTCTACCCAGCCCACACCTGCTAGGTGTGGTGGCAGCACCTGCCTGGGTGTTGTAGGCAGGACCCTGGTACCTGAGTGTCCTCGCCCCCAGAGCACTGGGAGGGGGCACCTCCAGGGCAATGGTAGTGAACCCCTCATCTCAGGACATAAAGAACCTTTCAGAAGTGCCTGGTTAGGGAAAGTTCTCCCTAAAACCCCTATGGCCAAGGTTAACTTTCTGCCCCATAGTCCTATCCTGGGTAGGGTAGATGAGGTGTGGAACTAGAGCCCCTGGGGGCTGGGATCAGGAGGCGGCCCCATTGCTGCATGCAGGGCTCCGCCGTCATCATTACCAGGCAGTATTAGAGATCAGACACTATCCAATGCTGCCCAGTAAGATGGCCACGGCTGCCCAAGTTGGATATGGAGGCCGCCTGGCAGGGAGTTGAAGAGGACTAGATTCCATGGGCAGGGCCCAGATGCCTAGTGTCCTAACTCCCAGAGCACCGCAGAAGGGGGCACCCCCAGGACAACAGAGGGAAGTCCTTTGTTCTAGAGGTCAGAGAGGGGCTGACCCTGTAGCACCTTCCAACTCCAAACAGCATGAAGTAGAATCAAGATATCTCTGAGAAATTTGATGGAAAACAATTAGGATGGGGTCTCATGAACCCTGGGGCCTCTGTCTCCCTCTCCTTGAGGTTCAATAGGAGAGTGGCCACAGTTGGTGGCCTACAGTGGACTAGCTTGGGGCCAAGGTGAGAACTTGGGAAGGCCAAAGAGTCCCTTCCAGAGGCTGACATCCCCAAAGATCTGGGAGGCAGGCTAGAGTTCCATGTGACCAAGGGCCGGGTTAAGATCAGGTCACGGATGGGTTCTCCATCTAAGTATACCCATCAGAGAATAGCCTAAACATCAGGATCAGTCCCATCAGTGGCCACAGTGTATTTTGAGGTTCAGCTACTGGACAATTGACCTCTGTCTCCAGGACATTGTTTACTTTCCTGTCCAGCCCTCATCTGCCTTTCTTGGGGCTCAAGGAGAGTACTGGGATGAGGGACCAGGTGATGATATTTGTTGTCTGATGGTCTGGGGTCTGACACTTTAAGCACATGAGAACAGTAATCCCCAACAGAAATACAACAACCACACCCACAGGCCTGCAGTGCCAAGCTGCATAAGGGTGTTTAGAATAGGTGTGTTCTTTGACCCTCCTGTTGCTAAGGACTAAGTCTGTAATCCCTACTTAGAGCCAGGAGACTGAGCATCTGCCCTAGGGACTCTTGGGATTGAAAGAGATACAGTC